GTTAGGGTCGGAAGGGACCACAATAGATCATCGAGTCCAACCCCCTGCATAGGCAGGAAAGACTGCTGGGTTCAGATGACCCCAGCTAGATTCCTATCTAACCTCCTCTTGAAGACCCGCAGGGTAGGGGAGAGCACCACCTCCCTTGGGAGCCCACTCCAGACTTTGGCCACTCTACCTGTGAAGAAGTTCTTCCTAATGTCTAGTCTAAATCTGCTCTCTGCTAGCTTATGGCCATTATTTCTTGTAACCCCCAGGGGCGCCTTGGTGAGTAAAGCCTCACCAATTCCCTTCTGTGCCCCCATGATGAACTTATAGGTAGCCACAAGCTCGCCTCTCAACCTTCTTTTGCAGAGGCTGAAGAGGTCCATGTGCCCTAGTCTCTCCTCACAGGGCTTGGCCTGCAAGCCCTTAACCATATGAGTGGCCCTTCTCTGGACCCTCTCCAGGTTATCCACATCCCTCTTGAAGTGCGGTGTCCAAAATTACATGCAGTATTCCAACTGCGGTCTGACCAGTGCCTGATAGAGGGGAAGCATCACCTCTTTGGTTCTGTTCGTCATGCATCTGCTGATGCACGATAAAGTGCCATTAGCTTTCCTGATGACTTTGTCACACTGACAACTCATGTTCATATTGGGAGTCCACTAGGACTCCAAGATCCCTTTCCACTTCCGTGCCACCAAGCATGCCATTTCTTAGGCAGTAGGTATGCTGGACATTTTTCCTCCCTAGATACAGCAAATTGCATTTCTCCTTGTTGAATTGCATTCTGTTGTTTTGTGCCCATATGTCCAACCTGTCCAGGTCTGCCTGTAGTTGTTCCCTGCTCTCTGGCATGTCTACTTCTCCCCACAGTTTTGTGTTATCCGCAGACTTGAACAGAGTACACTTCACTCCCTTGTCCAAGTCGCTGATGAAAACATGGAAGAGTATCGGTCCAAGGACTGAGCCCTGCGGGACCCCACTGCCCACACCCTTCCAGGTCGATCCCAACCCATCCCTTACAACTCTCTGGGTATGACCCTCTAGCCAATTCGCCACCCACCGGACTAGTAGAGTTTAGAAACTTCCAGTAAAACCACTGGCTACAAATTCTACTTTCAAGCTCACTACTGCTATGGGCCACTTTAAATAAGAAATGTAAATAGGATATAAAGAACAACTGAAAGTAACTAGTAGTTAGGTGGTAGGTCTGCAGATGAATGCATATGTTAGTTGCTGTCCTAATGACCATTTTATTTGAGAGGTAGAAGCACATTTTGGTGGGGGGGTGGGGGGGAAGCCATTAGTTTGTCACTGGAGTAATGAAGTTTTCTTTTCAGTAAAGAGTCTTCTAAAAGCAAAAAACAAACAAACCCTTTTTATAGTTAAATTTTCAACGTGGCATGCTTTTCTTTGTCTCCTGAAGTAAGAGAGAATATTCATACAGACTTCAAAGGCTCCTCTAGTGCTGAAAGGAGTTGTTCCTTAAAAACTGGATGTTAGTAACTTTCACTGTTTTGTGCAAGGAAGATCTGTGTGTGTACTTTGTGGATGGCTCAAATAGCTACTCACAGTTAAGGAGGGACATGCATCCTCTTCCCAAAGGGAAGAAAAAGTTATATAAAAGCATATAATGTTTATGTATTTTTGTTGCATTCAGCCATTTTTCATATATGAAAAGGATGGAATTGGGATAGAGGTAAGCCTTTTGCCATGAATGGTTATTTGTGGTCTGGTTTGGAACAACTCAGTGGCTTGATGTATAGATTCCTACCCTGCCTTTTTCCCTGATGCCAATAAAAAATGTAAGATTTCATAACTTTTTCATCACTTTTCAAATGTTAGAGTTGACATCAGGCGGCTCTGAAGTCACACCTTGGGCCTGGGTTCAGCATCGTGGGCCCTAATATAACCTAGGTAATAGATGCACAACAAGTTGCCCTATGTGGACTGTACAATCCAAAATCTGTTCTCTACTATTCTCATCTGCGTGATAACTATGGACCTATCTAATTCTCAGGGGCTGCCCCCTAATTTTATGCTCTGAGCACGAGCACGGTGCTGGACATTATTTTCCTGGTGGAGCACAGCAGCCCCACACACACACACACACACACACACACACACACACACACCCCTCTGGCTGAGGGGCTCTGGGAGTCATCTGTCTTCCAGATGGCTGTTTGTCAATCTCTGGGGAGGGGCAGGATTTCCAGGGCCCTTCAGCCAATCAGATGTAGGAGGCCCTCCCACCCTTCCCTGAAGATTGATCAGTGGCCATCTGTCAATCTCCAAGCAGAGACAAGACTTCTGGGGCCCCTCAGTCAATCAGAGGTGGAGGGGGCGGGCACCACATGCCGTCACAAAAATCTCTTCCCCTTCCCCCCATGCTTCAAGATGCCAGAGCTTCCTGTCTCCATTTTCAGCTCCATTCCCTCCCCCCGCTCCCCCTTTCTCCTCTTGCTAGCTGTTTTCCATCTTTTTTGTGGAGACTGGGCTTTTTCATCAGGGATCTACCAAATTCATGGTTTCCATGAAAAAATCATAAAATTACAAATTTGGTAGGTTCCTAATGATAACATACTAGGGTTTTTTCCCTCCCAAATGACCCCAGAATCTTTCAGGTTGCATCTTGGACAGTACATAGTAAGTAAGGCAGAGAAATGTGTCTGTTTTTATATATACCATATAAACATATACATTTAACACTAGTTCTCACTGTTTAGGCCACATTTCATATTCTCTGACCTCTTCTACCATTTTTCTTAGTTGTGGGCATTTTTATGTTGACCACGTTGGCTGTTTCAAAACCTAAGAGGCTTTTTTTAATTTTGAAATTTCCAGCCAGTGCACAGCTGGAAAAATGTTTTAATGGCAGTGGTGAGGGGTTTCTTTTCCTTTACACTATTCTAAAGCCAAACTATAGTATTTTAAAATGAATCTTCTCTAATATGGATGAAAGCTTGAGCTGCTGTAGGACTGAAAGGAAAAGAAAAAGAAAAGATTTCAAGTTACAAAAATACATTCAATACTTGATATTTAGCAGCTGTTGCAGCCACTTAAAGGCATTTCCTTTATCAACATGTAGCATTTGATGTTTTGGAGCCCCTCTAGTGAAAGACTAGATCCATGTGTAGCATTTAAAGATAGGGAAATAATTTATTTATATTAATATTTTGGATTATTTCCATAACTGGCTAATTGCTTAGACAAAGAAATATGTTTTCAAATATGTTTAGCTGGAAAAATATACCATATGTTCAATCCAAGCCTAGTAGTATTGCCAAGCTTTAGGCCCTGGAATGATATGCAGCAAATTGTTCTGTAATTCAGTAGCTACCTTTGTTCTTTCGCTTCATGCTTATTAAATCCCATTTAATCAATTATACAGGTCCATCATACAAATCTGTAAAATAAATATTTGAGCCATTGATGATTTACAGAAGTTTTAAGTGCTTTATTTGTTCAGTGGGCCACCAATCATCATAACTTACCAAAGACTGTTAAGGCGATTTTAACAATGGAACATCTCCAAAATCTGAGAGCAATCAAAATATCCTAGAATGGTTAAAGATTCATATCTTGATGCATCTTGATCCAGCCTTTCTCATCAGTGAAACTGTATGCATCAGATTCTTCCTGGTGGGAGTGATTACAATTCCAGGAAGTCCACAAAGTTGCAGTAATTTATACCAGTAGTTTGATTTATTTGGTATATAACAGTTTAATATTTTTATTTTTGCACGTGCGCGCACACACACACCTCATTAAAACTAAATTGTTGTATGGTAATGACTGACCATAAAGTTGAGTAATATGTCAGCTGTCTGATTTCTAGAAAAGTTGCTAATCTACCTGTGTGGATAGAATCTAGAAATATTTTAAACTATGTTTTGTTCAATGGAAATAAAAAAAAAAATCCACATTGTTTCAAGGGTCTTAACAGCTTTGTAACTTGGACATTTTCAAGTGATTAAATCTGTCTGGGTGAAATTGGCACAGTGATTGTATAGCCATAACTTCTGACAGAAACTTAGCGGCCTCTGAAATCTATTGATGCTTATGTTCAGTTCCTGTTATATCAATCACAAGTGTTGTCATCACGGTGGACACTGATACTTGCAGTTTCAGTAAAGATATTAATGATTTGAATGGGTTTAAAGACCACAGTATCTACTTACTCCCTGCATGTAATCCTGACAAGTCAGGATAAGGTAAAGTAGTGGAGTGGGTTTGGGAAATTGCAGGTCAGTGTTTTTGAGTCAATCTGTTATTTTCCAAAAGTACTTTAATTCAGTTCTTAAAAGTAAAATCAAAACCTCTAGAAAGGAATTATTGATGAAATTAAAAAATCTTTCCTGGTCACCTGAGAGGAAGAAAAGGAAAAAAAAGGGTAAAAACAAAAAACTTGTTTATTCACAAGGAAAAAATGACTGAATTTCCTGTCTTTACTTCCAGTAACTGCTGAAAAAAGGTTAGGCAGAGCTTTTGGGGTCAAGCAACATTTGCTGAAAAGTTCAATTAGTCTTAAGTTTTATTTCAAGCTCCTAAAAGATGGAAGGAAGCTGGAATTTAAAAGGTTAGGAGCTTCTAATTTAGCACAATATTCCTAACTGCTATAACCAGATTGTAAGTCCAGTTATTATTAGAAAGCTCAGTATTTAACAGAAAAAAATACCAGTACAGTGCTACAACTTGAGAAAGAATGGGAATGTTGCTTATTTACCAGCAAATGCTTTGTAGATGCGAATACTGAGTCAGATTCATTACCTTAACTACATCATGTGTGGAATATGCAGTAAAGTTGTGACTCCACTTCTGGTAGTAAATCCAGTTTCACTTTTACTGTTTTGCAAGTTTGCCAGGTTATTTTTCTGAAATGATTGCTGTTTACGAAGCACAGCCTGAGAAATTTGATGTACGGTCTGTATTTTAATCATGACCAAAAGAAATGGTGAATATAAGTGCAACTGCCAAGTCATTAACTCTGTATCCTTTTTCTTCCCTTTTTTCAGCGGAGCCCCTGCCTTTAATGGACTTGTGCCGAAGATCAATTCGGTTTGCTCTTGGCAGAGACCGCCTGCATGACATAGAATCTCTACCTTTGCCTCAGTCTCTGAAAAATTATTTACAGTATCAGTAAGAAGCCTAGAACCCCTCTGGCCTCATATTGGACTAAATCAATGCAAATGGCAGATATTATTGTTTACAGCAAAATATAAATCTTTGTGGCGGACACTTGAGTGTTATTTAATTTTTAATATATATATTTTTTTTAATCAACCACAGCAGAACCTTAAAGGGACTACTGAAGAATGTGAAAAGATTGATCTGATCTAGATTTGTGTATTATCTGTTGCCTACTGTTTGCCATCTTTTCAGATAATATCGAAGGCTGAATCCTCCTAGATCAGTTGTCCACGTGGCAGATGTTAGCTTACCTGTATTGACTTCTGGTAAACACCAGCTGAACATCTGGTCCCAAGATTTATCCTTGTACAGAAAAGCATCCTTTCAGTAATGTGATTGCTGCATATTAGTGAAAGGAATGACACCATGTGAAATTTTCAGTGTTTAAAAAATAGGACTTCATTTCCAGAGTTGCTAAGTGATTTCGGCTCTCAAATTTTATCTGGAATTCCGAGTTCTCAGTGCTTTAGAAAATCAAGCTCACAATGTGTTAGAGGGCCTGCCATGAAAGATTATTGTATAAAGCAGTAATGCTTGATTTAAAGCTAGATGAGAGGAAAAGGTACTTTGTAAGTGTATATTGGATAAATGAGATAAGGTAGTCAGTTTAGCCCATTGATTCCAAGATCAAATCTAGTCCCTCTAGAGTTCTGCTGTTTTTAACAACAAAATGTTCACAATCTCAATTCTAGGATATTCACATTTTACAAAACGTGTCACTTTTTATTTGAACAAATTTATTTTTACATTATATGAACTCTAAATACTTGGTTTTCCTTTTAACCTATGTGTGGGATACTGTTTATTTATCTGTTTAGAGTCAGTAGAATCCTCGCTTAACTGTTTTTCATCTTGAAAGGACTAGTTGGTTTTTTTTTTCTCCTCTCCCCCTCACCCCACCTGAAACACTCATTTTATCAGGCTCATCCCATTTTAAAGATGCTGCTCTTTAGTTGCATTTCTTATGTGTTCCAAGGTAATCTGCCTGATCAGTTATCTAGTTTTTAAACTGGAAGTTGTTGTAATGGCAGGATGTCAGATGTTTAAACTGAGCTGCCTTCAGCATATTTTAATGTGAATTTACTAATGAATGGGGAGAAAATTTCTAATAAAGTCTACTGTCCAAAATGAAAGTGTTCCTGTTATTAATTACTGTATATACATAACATTATGTACAGAGTTAGAGTTTCAGTTGCATTTCATTATTACCTTTGTGTAACATCTCTGTTTAAGTGTCTGTGTGGGTGAGTGGGTGGGTGGGTGGTGGTGCACGCATATGCACGTGCATGCGCACATGCGCATACAGTTCATTTAAGTATGGCCAATACCATGTTCTAGTCATTTTGGGTAGGTCTCTTGCATCCTTGGCCTGTGTACCTAACATGTGCTTTTTGCCCAACCTTCTACCGCCCATATACAAAACTCTCAAGCACACACTTATTTGATCTGCAAAGCTGTAAATGATTTCATAGCCAGAGGGAATGCTAAGACTGAGTTGCAACTTGCCCACTTTGCATTAAGGATTGTCTTCCAAGTGCCTTTCCCATAATTACCTCAGGGGACAGGCAAATCCCCTTGCAGTTAACAAACTGACTGGGAAGAAATCCTACATCATCTCAACACATGATATGTCCTCAAACCCATACAAACAAGTGCAGTAAAATGGGCAAAATTTTGTTTTGGAAATACTAACAGTTGGGCTAGGCTAACCCTAGGCATTCTTGGAGGCTAATCACTTTGGCTTCTCTGCAATGCAGACTTAAAGGCTAGGGACAGATATTACACATAATCTGGTTCAAGTGATCAGAAACTGTTTTAAACCTGTAAAAGAGCAGATGTTCAGTGCACATAAACCAGTTAGAAAATGGCTGAAACCGGTTTGAGATAAACCTGGTTGAATGTAGTATCAGACTTAAATGATTTAGCTCAAACCGGTTTATGCAATGTCTGCCCCAGACCCCTTGCTGGTTTCAGTTAAATTAGAGTCCCCCAGCATCCCAGCATGCTCTCTGAGCTGGGCGGGGCTCTCTGCTCCACAGCAGATCTGGCCCCTCCCCTCTCCTCCCTGGCTGGAGCTCAGCACCGTCTTGCTGGCACAGCAGGGTCTGCCTGGCTTCCCTGTGCCCCCTCTCCCTGCTGCTCACCATTCACTGCTTAAGCAGAGATCCCTTCCTCTCTGCCACAGCAGGCACTGTAGCCAGCATGTGGTATGCTAGCTAATGCCAAGAGGTGTCTTTGTGTGCATCTCTCCCCAGTTTCACTGAGATAGGCAGACAGAACAGTGACCACTTGGGGTTTTTAGGGCTAATCAACAGGTCAGCTGGTAAATTGTTTAAGAGGTTTGAAGTAATGTGGAGAGAGGCTATTGTTTTGCTAATCAGGTGATAAAGACTGTTATCAGCCCCCCGCCTGGTTTGCTTACCTGTCAGTTTGCTGCAGACGGCTTAAAGCCTGTACGGGGGACTTTAAACTAGCTTCGCCGGGGGAAGGGGCTGCTTCAAGTGGAGAGGATGCTTCACCAGCACGCAGGATGACAAGAGGAAGGGAAGCACAGGTAAGTATCAACGTCCGAGGAGCAGGGGGCCACAGCTGTCCTGGGAGTGGGAGGAAGGCACGAGCACCCTCAAGAGGCCTCAGGTGCCTCTACACTAATGCTCGTAGTATGGGGTGTAAGCAGGAGGAACTATGCCTCCTGATTGCAAATAAGAACCCAGACTTAGTAGGGCTCACAGAAACCTGGTGGGACCCTACCTACGACTGGGCAGTGGGCATTCGGGGGTACACCCTATATAGAAGAGACAGGACAGAGAGGAAAGGTGGGGGGGTTGCGCTCTATGTCAAAGAGCACCTCACATCATCAAGGATTAGCTTTGGGTCGAGCAGAGACACTATGGGTCAAACTACAAGGGGGGCATGGTGAAAGGGACCTTATGGTGGGTGTCTACTACAGACCACCCAACCAGGGGGAAGAACTGGACCAGGACTTCTCCAGTCAGCTTATGGAGGCGGTTAGGTCAAGGGATGTTATTGTCATGGGTGACCTAAACTACCCAGACATTTGCTGGGAGGAGCAGACAGCCAGGTCTGACTGCTCGCGTAGGTTCCTGGCTGTATTACAGGACCTTCACCTTATCCAGGAAGTGCACAGCCCCACAAGGGGTAACGCCTTGCTGGACCTGGTCCTGGCCATGGGGCCACCTGGTGAGGGGACTGCAGGGCCTTGAGCACCTGGGCAATAGCGATCATCACCTGCTAGAACTCACTATCCAACGCAGGGCATCTAGGGCTCACACCAAGGCTAAAGCCCTTGACTTCAGAAGGGCCAACTTCAATGAGCTTAGGAGACTAGTGGGGAAGGCACTAAGGGCCCAGAAGGTAGAGGAGATGGGAGCCCACGAGGGATGGTCATACCTTAAGGGGGCGATCCTCCAGGCCCAAAAGATAACAGTCCCTGGGAGAAGCAAGGGGGATAAGAGTGCTCAGAGACCCCCTTGGCTCAGCAAGGGCATTCAGCAATGCCTGAGGACTAAAAAGGAGGCATACAACCACTGGAATGGAGGAACTATCACCAAGGAGGAGTACTCCTTCTCGGCCCGGAAGTGTAGGAGGGCTATTAGGAAGGCCAAGGCAGAGATGGAACTCAGGCTAGCGTCCAGGATTAAGGACAACAAAAAGTCCTTTTTCAAGTACAT